CTCTTGGTGAAGCCATTCCCCACCAGAGAGATCCTGCCATGCGTGCCATGGCGCTTTCGAATGTCGATGGGCGTTCTGCACGAATTTGGAAGGGGCCAGTGAGCATTTGCATCGTTCGATACCCATGTCGTACACCCTGGGTCTGGGCGAAGAAGTCCCCGAAAGGCCGAAAGGTGATTGACGATGCCCTTCTGTCTCCAAACCGATTGTGACAGAGGTAGCTCTGTGAGAAGCTCAAATAAGCGAAGGGGCTTGACTGGACCTACGGCGGTGGCGTACGTGGGCTTCTACGCCTCAAGCGAGGCCATGCAGCTCAATGACTGGTCCTCAGCCCCTGCGGCTCCCACTCGTCACAATGGCCGGAGCCATGCCTTGCTGCATGCCGCTGGGTGCATGCTGTGAGTGCTCGCAGTCGCAGCCCCTACTTCGTACTCCGTACCGAATGTGAGCATAGAAGTGGATGCTGGATGTAGGTACTTTAGGTATGTGAGTGGGAATGGGGAACATGGGCCAGTGGAGATCCGTACTCCGTCCGTTCAACTGGATGATCTGAGAAAAGGCTGCATTTGCGCACAAGCCATCGGCTGAGGGAGACGAGAGGCTACCTGGCAATCCAAAGTCCAAAGGCGACGACAAGACCGAGTATTGATTTCTTGTTGTATTCGTAGTGGGGTTCCTTGCTTGCTGGACTGAACAAAAGTCATGACAAAAGACACGGGGTGTTGCACAGCGCGGAGGCTGGAGATTTTGATAGGTCCCCGCCCGAAGCGGTACAAGGGCTAAATTGGATGCACCTCTGGCATCCGAAAACGCGGCAATATCGTGTGAAGGTTGTCGTTTTTACGGTACTGCTGACCGAGACTTCGGCGTCTGGGCCAGAGATTGATCCGGTGAAGACGGAGGTGGTGAGGGAGGATGCCCGTCCAATGGCCCCGGTGCCGGTGTTCGGATCCAGAGGATGGCACATCAACCAGATGAGCAATGCTCGGGATTCGTAGTGGCGGGCGGGCTGGGCCGCAGACACCCAAGGGTCGGTTCAAGCTTCAAAGCCGCCGCGAAGTAAGACGACTCTTGGGATGACGACGGCAATATATTAGAGTGTGGCGGAACGAGCTTGTAGTGGTATGGCGGAACTCTCCAGCTGCAACTCTAAAAGGCTCAACGTTTGATGCATCATACCTACTACTTTTTTGACGACAGGCGTTGAGTAGAAGAGTGAGGGTTTCTAGGGGTCGAATACCAACTTTGGTTGGGTGCGGAACCCGGTCTTGTTGGTCAGGTCGGAATGATGTAGTGAGGGTGAAGGCGTTTGAGAGTTCAATGTAGGAACATTCTCATGAGTGAAATTGCTTTGATGGTACACATGATGGAATGTGGTGATAGGATGGCTGCAAGATGGGTGCGTGTAGTGTTGGATCGATTCTGCGATGATTTCTACTGATGTCGAAGACACTTAGTCCTAGTGCGCCAACTCCTTGTTGCGTTTCTTCTGCATGCTTGGTGCTTTGCTGGGCATTGTTTGAAGGCATTTCCTGTCCTGAACAGTCCCCCCTAGACTGTATCGACGGTAGTATGTAGTCTTTGGTGTAGCAGCAAGCAGCTGGTGCTATGGTATTGGCTGGCATGTAGAGGTGACACGGTGCCGACGGTAATGGATATGGATAAGCATAGGAGCAGTGAGCGGCATCTCCGCGCACCAGAGAGAGTGCAAAGGAGAGTCCGTGCCGGTGAGGTCCGTGAATGAGCGATGGCTTGTGGTTGTGGATAAAATGTGGATGTGGGTGGTGGAGTGCGGTCGGGGCGGGCGATGTGAGGTTGCAGCGGGAATTGACTTCATTCTCACTTTTTTTTTTTTGGTGGGGGAAGAAACCTCAAGGCTCAAGTGTTTCCTGCCTTTCTTTGGTGAGTTTCTTTTTTTGGTGGGGGGTGGCCAGACTGAGTCCATCAGGTGGGGGGGACCCCCCCTGCTCTTTCCTTCCGTAACTGCCCCTCCTTCCCTCCTTCCTCTTCTCTTTTTTGCGATGACAGCCTTGGGTCCTCTTGGGTCCTTCCCACGATACCGCCTGCTGGTTGGTCAGTCGTGTTTCCTTCCCTCCTTTTCGGTAAAAAAATGGTACCGGTAAACCACTCCATTTCCTTTAGTCCTTCCTGCTGAATCATCCCCCATCCCGTCGCGTCGTCGTCTCCGCGTCTAAGTGTGTACATAGATACGTACTCCATACTCCATCCCACTTGCTCCTTCCCCGTCGCCTCCGTCCTTTCCCAAAACACGGGTGCGGTGGATGCGGGAGGTGCGGTGCTGCGGCGACTCGCGAGGGCAAGAGTTCCAGGCCAAAATCCCATCCCAACGGCCTGCGGCCTGCCCCGGTTTCCGGTCCCCACTTCTGAAGCGATGAATACGGATTCAGATGGATTACGGAGAAAGTGAATAAAAAAAAAAAAAAAAAAAAAAAGGAAGCGAAAAGCCCGCAATGCAGATACTTCGTCGACGTTGGAAACTAACATACGCCGCAGTTATCAAGGCGTCAGACACATCATCTAACAAAATAACCCTGGTGATCCAGCGTCTGCCCATCCAGTGAGAATTGTTGCCGACAGCTCGGGCCACTCTGAGAATACGCTCCGTGCGTGTTGTCTTGTTGCTGTCGCTTTCGCGCTTCGTCTGTTCTTTCTGGGGCAATACCTGAGCCGCCAAATGCCCATAGCGGTGCCTGCTCTTACCCCAATCGAAACGTACTTTGCAAGGAGCACGAATTATTGCCATTGGCGAGACATTTTGTGAGAAGCATTTGCCTCTCAGTGCTCCGCTCATCGCCGATGCACAAGGGCAGCCCAACAGCATCAGTGAAGAAAGAGTCGTGTCCAAGAGAGCGGTGACAGTAACACAAGCAAAATGCATTGCTATCGCCATCGCCAATGCAACCATCAGCAATGGCAGCGCATTATAGTGCCACAATGCATCTGCGCCATTTCTGTGACGACTCGGGCGACTCATTCACACGTAGCAGCATGCTGGTCTAGGAATCTCAACCCTCGCCCAGCCGTTTCTTGGCCGGAATGAGACATTTTGACGACAAAAAGTTCTTCACGCCGTTGCCGCCAGTATGGAGCGTGGGAGCCAAAGTCTCTAATCAGAACGAGATGTGTCAATTGGCTCTCGATGCAGGCAGCCGCTCCGCATACGGAACTATAGGTAGTCAACATCTCGTAGTTGCACTACTACCGTCAGCGTCGGCATCAACAATGTCTATGCCATCCATACCAGGCGCCGGTAGGGTAGCTCGTGCCAACGGCCACCATCGATAATAGCTGATGCCGGCATCGGTGTCGTTGCTATCGCCAGCCCTAGTCCAGCTGCAACCTGTGGCTGACAGAGCGGCAGACTATTCGTACCGCTTCTGACACACAATTCCCTGAATTCATCAGTCATCAGCGACAGAGCGGGTCGGCGTCGTCTTAGCGCTTCCAAAGACACGGCGCAAACAACGCACAAACGTGCCGTCAAAACTTGCCCGCACCCAGAGAAAAAGAGGGTGCAACAGGTATTGTCCGACACTGACTCTGACTCTTCTGCCTGTCTTGTCCCTGGCCTGCTTCTGCTTCCCAGTGCATTCCAGTAATGGTAGATCGGCCCCCAAAGCAATAGCATAGCCAAAGGAAACGAAGCTTTTCGCAGGAGTGTTTGATGTTTGTCATGGGTTCGGCCTTGTTGAGAATAGTTCCAGAGCAAACTTGCGGGGACAACCACTTTGGATGGAATGTGGGAAAAGGCTGGAATGTGGACCGAACTGGTATCGTTTTTCTCCTTTACCAGTCTTCTTTTGCTTGTCCCTTCCTTGTCCTTCACATCCATGTTCCCATCCCCCATCTTCGTCCAGTGTCTCGAGTGTTGGTTCCACCATTGGTTCTGCTTCGTGTCGCCGTTGCTTTCAGGCGAGGACCCGGGGGCATGGCCTTATTTCGCTCCGTTATTGTCTGCGGACGGGCGCCGGCCGATCAGATCATCAGAACGGGGCCGCAGGGGGGGGGGGGGCAGATTCTGGAGCCAATTCTTTTTGTCTTTGCTGCGTATCAACGGCGGGTCAAGTTTTCCCAGAATCCCCAGGTGGGTTGCCCCAATCATTGATAAAGTTCGAGCTGAGCAGGGCTTGGTATCGATATCGAACGCTTGCTCGAGTCGTGGCCACGTCCATCCTTCCACGACGGCAACACTCAGTGTCTTTTGAGAACTAGGCTGGCGGTGTAATTGGAGAGACAAAGCAGAGGGTGCAAAGAAGGCATGCTGACAGTGAGACGCGACCGAGACGCGCCTCGCCCGACACAAGTCTGATTGACACCCTCCGTACAAAAGACATCCAGTCAGGCAGCCTAGTGGCTTCGAGATTCATGATAACGTACGCCATAAGGAGGGAAGATATCGGTAAAACGTCTCTGATAAGACGAGGTGGTCGAGATAAGGCCAAACGTTGGAAGGTGATGTAATGTGCGGCTTTGGCTATCCGCCGATATGGATCGTGGGCCGAATCGGATAGAAAGGGAGTGCTAGCGACCCGAGAAATCGTGCACCCGTCGTGGGCCACACGTCGTGGTGTGGCTGGATCGTGAGTGGGAGAGGGAGTGGGAGTGAAGTGTTGTTTCGACGAGGAGTACCTCTAAGGACAGCTCCTCTCCCCCACTTAAAAACTCACGATGCTTTGCGTCTTCGCCTTGGAGCTGCGAGGCAGGCACGCACCCAAAAGAGGCAAGGGAAGCAAGCTAACTGCCCAGTCAAGCGAGAAAGAGCGGGCGGACGACGCGACGACGATGGTAGGTGCACCTGCCGCGAATGACATCATTCTTTCCTTCGACCCAAACTTTTACGAACTTTTTTCACCGGATCTTTTGCGCCTGAGAGTTGGGTTCCCCATCCGTGTGTGTTCCAAACGAGCATCGTGAAATGACCGATAATGGAAGCTTCCTTGTACTGGGGGGGATAATACCTAGATCAGGTACTGGGGGGAATGGTTGGGGCTTGTTTCGTCTATTACGAGACTGCCCTGTCCCTTCTATGGCTTGTTCTGGGTGTCGCAAGCAGTGCGCGCGGGCAAGGACTTCAGTTCCGGTCCCGGGCAGACAGGAAGGAAGGGACAGGGCAAGGGCAGGTACATACTTGTAGAGGTAGGGCAGGGCCATTGCTTCCAAAACGCGAACCCATGCCTTCCTTGCCTGCCTCAGTGCCTGCCGTGCCTGCCATTGCTCGCCTGCGGCCTGCCTGCGCCGGTCTGTGCCTGCGTCTTCGCTTCTTTCTTTGCGGCATGGGCCTGGGCTGCTTGGCCTGGGCTGAGCCGACTGGGGTCGGTCGCTGCTGCCCTCTGCCCGTGTTGAAAGCGACGTGGGGCCGTGTCAAGTGTACAGTGCCGAAGGCAAGCGAGAGCCGGGAGAGGAGGGAAGGCACGCACCTCAGACTTTGCAGAGAGAGACAAGAGGGCGCCATAATCTCCGTCCCCGGCACGATGACGATGGAAACGGCATTCTCTCATACCAGCCGCCCTGCCAACAGTGTCTTCAGTACGGGATGAGGCATGCCGCGGCATGGCGGCCACTGATGCAAACGAGATTCGAGACATGGCGAAGCTAATTGAGAACGATCAAGACCAAACGGCGGCTCGATGGTCTGGGGTAAAACCAGCTAGAGCAAGCAGAGAGGTGGGAGCATCACCAAGCAGGAAATACGGTGCTACGGATACAGACTGTTGAGGAAAAGGCTAATACAACTTCAAGGAGGCAGGTATGGGGTAGTGCCGGGCCAACAACTCTCGAGACCAATGTCCGGCTGGAGCCGCAAACACTTTGATCGTCAACTGCCTCAGTCTTCCAACCACCTGCGAACTTGAGCCGACTGGATGCGTCACGATGCTCTGCTAGGCGGCGGGATGCTAAGTTTAGACACTCTCTCCGTCCCAACTCTTTTCAATTTGTCGGTCGATATTGGAACGAGACAAGAACGGACCTGCTACTCTCGACTCCCGCACATTGCGCCAAGATGTATACTCTCGACAATGTATCAGTGTCGACTGCGGATACGGATAGGATAGGCCAATAGCTTCTATGGGCATGATTCCGGCATGAGCAGTTCGATACCAATCTGACAACTCTCAACGTTGCATTGCTCTCCAACTTCTTCTTTGGCACCTAATGACTGAGACGGGAATCGAAACCTCAGGCCGTTCTGCAGCAGTGGTGTCGTACAGACAAGCTCCGACCCCAATTTTACTCTACCTGATAGAGTACGGTTACCACTGTCGAAGCTATCGAGTCTTGAGTCTCTTGAGAAAGAGCTGCTGCTGCGGGTTGTCATGCTCTTTGATGAGAGAATGATGGGACCATTATTTTACGCAGTATGGCAGTATGTATATCAGCACCAACGCTAAATTGACTAGAAACCCTGTCCCTGCTCCTGCCCCCGGTCTATTTCTTTCACCTTTGACCCAGTCGGTACGTTTTTCTCTTCATCCCTGCTAGCGCATCTCGAAGTTTTCCACTCCTTTTTTTTTTGCGAGAGAGAAGGAAGCACCCACCCGGGATCCGTACTGTCCTATCAAAGATGGTCTGCTCTGTACTGCTCATTAGTCATCCCGGTACGTTCTTTTCTGTACTGTGTGTGGTCAGGTTGCTGTGGCTCAACTGCTCTGCCACTTGCTTCCCGTCACTGCTCAGTCTACCTTACCTTACTGTGTAGGTAGAGGCCTTGACCGAGAAGACGTGTACCACCACCACCACCACCACCACTGCAAACCAAGAACCAAGAAACCAAGGCGGCAGCATAATCAGACCGGACTGCTTACTCCTCCCGTCCCGCCCCTGCTACAGCTTACCTTACGAGCCGACGGAACTTTGGCTTCCTCACCTTTCCCCGCCTGTCCCTGCTCTCCTCCAGCGACTTCATGTTTCAACCATTGTCCGCTCCCGGCACCTCGCACTGCGCGTCGTCGCGGCATGGATTGGCTCAGCATTCGCATATCAGTACGGAGTACGGATAGGCGTGCCAGGCATGGCTAGGCGTGGAGATTATGGACATGACAGGCAGGGTGGGGTGAGAGGGTGGATGGCCAGGGCCCGGTCGGTCATCGCTGATCTGATCTGACTCTACCGGAAACCTCAACGTCCTTCCTCCCGCACCCAGAAACCCTCGATACCGGAGGGGGGACGGCCTCAACGGTACCGGCCGGTAGCAGCCATCGATCATTGCGGGAAGGAGAGAAAGGAGGGGGGAAAGATGGAACAGACATTCAGAGAGCGATGATTGTCTTGTCTCTCATCCCACCTCCCATTTGACATCTACCGTGAGCAAAAGCTGCCGTGCTCATCTAGAAGAGATTCTGCCCAGTGGCCAAACACCCATGCATCCATCTCACACATGTTTCTTCATCCGTCCAAGGAAATACATACCTACTGGTAGGGTAGGAAAGGCATCAGCCAGATGCAATGCGAACTGGGCAACTTGCAAGACCAGGCCTGGAGTCCACCACCCGCATCTTCAAGCCTCCCAAGCCAGCCCGCCGCCGTCTCCGCCTCCGCCTCCGCCTCGGGCTTCTCCAAGTCTTGGGCCAGTTGCCAATCTACTGTACTGGGCTAAACTGTGGCAGAAGGGGCTCCCGGGGAGGCGAAGGAGAGACTGAGAAGCAATACCTACGGGTAGGTAACAGAAAGGGAGGGAGGGCGTGACTGCAGCAAGGCTTGCCAGCGCCTACAGAGAATTCAGAATAGGTATGGATACAGAACAGATGCTCGCTCTGGCTTTCGTTGGCGCTCTTCTGCCATTCTTGCACCACCAACATGACGCCAACGCCATGCCGTTTTCTCTCCTCTCAGGTTCTCACTTCTCCATGGCCAAGATGAAAATCCCCACGTCCAGATGATACAAGACGGTCAGTGTCAGGTAGCTTGCAGCGGAGCATTCTTGTCGTGTCGTGCGTGTCGGCCCCCTCCACCTGTCTCCATGGTGGACGACCAACAACGGGAGAAGCAGCAAATGGTGTTGGCGGTGGTCGATGGACGGACATGCAGGATTTAGTTGCCATGGATCGTCAGCAAGCTCCCCCAGGCAGGATATCTTGCGGCCTCGAGCATGTTCTGCAGACGGTACTTTGGAGACGTTGGAGTACCCGAGTGCATCTTCTGCATCTTGTACATAGCTATGGATGAATTGATGGACGAATGAATACAATGAGGCAATCCAAGCCGGGTCGAGTGCCATGCCACAGCAGACAGGCAAAATGATATCCGTACCCAACTGATCTCTCTTTAAAGGGCAGTCCTCAACGCAAGCAGCAATTGTCGAGCCCAAAGCCCATAGCCCAAAGCCCAGCCGGCTTGCCGTCTCCGTGCCACCATCCACCATCCCACGCAGCGTCGCCTCGTCTTGTTCAGTTTTTTGCTGGATGGTCGCTCTTTCCTAATTTTTTTTTTCCTGCTCTTCCTTTCTCGGTCTGGTCTGGCGGGCCCCACACCCCGTCGCCGCCGCGCTGCTTAGCGTCGAATCTTGCTCCAGCCACACCCCAACCTTTTTCTCTCCTTCCCTCCTTCCCCCGGTGTCATGAACGAAGTAAGTACGTACTCCTTGATGTACCCGCTTTTTGTTGCTCGCAGCAGCTGTGAGGTGCAGCAGCAGCAGCAGCAGCAGCAGCTGTGCGCCATGTTCCTCGCCTTCGTCTTCTCTTGAGTATTCGTCTCTCTCCCACACTCAACATCCTTCTCCACCACTACCACACTCTGGTGCTCCCCCGGCCTCCCCTGCTTGACTGCTTGACCGAACACGTCCACGCCCATACCAAGGATCACCCCCCCGATGGCCACCCTGGTCTTTTTGGTCTTTTTCGCCGTCTCTCGCACTTGCAGGGATGCTCCTGACCATCAGGTACGTGCTACTGCGACTCCCGCCGCCTGGGAACAGAGGGCGTGTACGTACACTACGCACCACCACCACCAGAGGCACGGAGTACGGATATCTACGCAGTATGTGCAGTGAGGTGGGAAAGTGGCTGCTTTTGCTGGCTGGCGTCTGCCACACATTGCACGCATTTCCCACCTTCTCCTCAACTGCACTCGCTCTCTCTCTGTCGCCGCTCTGTTCTGCAGCCCATCGCTGACCCTGGTCCTAGTCTTAGTCCTTCGCTCGTCTCTTTTTGCTGGGGGCGTGGCACGGCACCGTGGGTGTGTGTGCTGGGACAAAAACCAAACCAGCCAGACCAGACCAGACCAGACCAACCCGAACTGAGAGGTGCCTGGTACCGGTAGCTTTTCTTCCCTCGTTCCCTGTCTCTTCTTGCTGGGAGCGGCGGTGGTGTTGCACACAACCACCACTGGCACTCACCACACACCACACACACCTGGCTACCGCCGCCTCCCCCCCAGTCTCCCACGCTCTGCTGAGGTACTTTGTACTGGGCGCGGACTGCGGTGCTCGGAACTCGCTCGCCATTCAAAACCACTCCGTTCCCTCCGGAGCCGCCCACCAGCTTGTTCACTCTCCAATCTTTGTGTGCTCCAAACACCAAAGTCCAACATCCTCAACATCCACGGCACAAAAAAGTCGTCTCAAGAGATAGTCAACTTCTCGTTGCTCTTCTTGCATCTTTCCTGGCACACGACACTTGCATCCCGAAGCAAGAGCAGGAACAGAATTCCAACACAGACAGACCCAACCCCATCCTGTCCAAGAACGAGACATCACAACCGAAAAAAAAAGAGAGTCAACGGCATAACTCTGTCACGACCCAAGGCACGGAAGGAAAGGATTGACCCCCATAGTTTTGCACCTATTCGGCTGGTCTCCTTAACCCTCTACCTCTTTTCGATCAGTCAAGCTCGACCCAGAACCTGACCGACCATACGATCCCCACGAACGTCGCAAGCCACCGTGCAGGGACGTCTCATCGCCTCGCCTGAGCCTCCCATCGGCCCCTTCTTCCTTTCGAGACACTCGAGTCCCCGTCCTTCCCCAGCTCGTCATTGCATTCCACTTGCTTCGACGACATCTCCACGGGACCCTCCTCCCCAGCTACCGACATTCCTCTCACCAAACATACGACGGAAGTTTCTTGCCCTGTTGCTGGAACATTGCCAGAGCAGAAAACCCGACAGTCGCCCGCCTTCCTTGACTCGACCTTTCTCTCCCTCCATGTAAGTGGTCAACTGCGACTCCTACACAAAAACGTAATACAGCTGTAAAAACAACAAAAAAATACATCACCACCTTCGTCATCATTGCTTACCGCTTTTCCTTTTTTTTTTCCTCATTGCCATATCACTTTCTCAGCCTTGCCTCTTTCCTTAGTCCTGTTCTTGATCCCTAATCGCGGGAATTGCGTTTCCCACAGCCACCAACGCTACAGCCATCAGCTTCTTTTTCTTTCCTAGATTTTTCCCACTCTCTCTCTACCTCGTTTTCTTACCTTATTTTTTACCAGTTCAGTCATCGGAATAGATGCACCACAACCAATTTCCTTACCCGACTAAATAATCCTAAAGTCTCCCATGGCCGCGACAGAGCTGACGGGAACCTTCCAATAACACAGAAATCCTAATTTCCTACCGGCGTCTCTTCGCTCATCCTCGGCCGCTCCGC